TATAAATAATATGTTCATATACGTATGTATGTATGTATGTATTTTTGTATATTTGTGTTCACATGTACATATATATACATACACACACACACATGCACACATGCACACACACACACACATGCACACACACACACACATGCACACACATGCACACACACACACACACACGCACACACACACACACACATATATATGTATACACATACTTCTATATATTTATGCGTACAGACGCGTATGATGATTTGTATTGGTTTTTCTCCTAGAATTGTTCTCGCATATCCGAATAGAAATACTATAAATGACCTCGAAAGCATGCAAGTATGGTTCACTAAAGTTATATGAGCTAATGTACACTTGCCTATATGTGCTTCATTTGTACGTAGTATATATCTACTACTATCTGCACGTAAACCTCACATATTTTTAATCAGATATAAGTGTGTGCACAAGAACCATCAAGAGAAGCACATGTGCATATCTTGATGAACCTTGGCATTTGCAATCAATTCAATGTGTATGTTTATGTATATAACCGTACCAGCGTGATATGTGTACATGGCAATGTACTCAAATTTCTACCCCTTTTATGGATTAGGTGTAGTATGTGGTGGACCCGATATGAGTATTTGTTGGCCACAAAATTCTCCTTTACCAACGATATTGCAATTCCGGGTTGATGGTTCGAGAGAATTAATATTTATGCATTCGTGTATATACCCTTCACACCGGTGTGATATGTATACACGAGCATGTACTCAATCTTGTACCTCATTTGCTGGTTAAGTATAGTATGTGGTGGACCCGAAATGAGTATTTGTTGATCACAAAGTTCTTCTTCACCAACCAAATTGGGGTTCCGGATTTATAGCTTGAGACAGTTGGTTTGGCGTGGAGAATTTGGGCTCGACGATTGAGATGTGTTCATCCAAAAATATATTTGTGTACAATAAATTTAGCAACCGCCAGATTGGAACATACCGAGCTTGCTAATAGCCGAAATTGAGCAGGCTAGACCTAAACCTAAACCTAAACTAAGCGCTCACCCAGCCAGTACAGGAAACGGGAATGGCTGCGTGTTGACTACCAAATGCACAGGACATTATGCCATCAGGATATGGTACATTGAGTTGCAGTTGGGGTCATGTATACGACATCGCACTTAGTCTATAGCCGACAACGGGCAGCATGTCCTAAATTTGTTTATTGGACTCTGGCAGGCGCAAGCCCTCTGATCAAACTATCGGGGCGCTCAATATACTGTGGACAGTCCGAGAGTACAACCAAACGCCCCTACATTTATGCGTTACTAAAATACACCACGCTCAGCAGTACTACTTCAGCCTGGGATACACATCAGGCTAACGCTTTGATCACAGTATGCCCAATGCACCATTGCGTATGTTACTTGTCCTAATTCTAATCTATGCGACATGTAATGTGATTTGTATCCCACGGGCTTTCCCGTGAGTAGTCAGGAAGGTCCAGTCTACGACTTTGCCACTCCCCTGTGATACGTAGATATACCATACAGGAGTCCCAATGTCTTGGTGCACTATCTAAGGGTCTAGATACCGGGGCTAAATTTGTCCTAAAATGATGAGATGTCGTGTTATAATACCATTAAAGTACTTATATGCCCCGTTATATAGTACAGTCGTCCGGATGTCTTAGCATACTAACAGGGTTTACGCTATCTTGCACACCTAATTAGGGGTTTACTCTATAGCCGTGGTATCAAATAGGTGCTCAGACATCGTACTACACCAACAGAGTTCAGAATACATTTTGCTAACCCTAATAGACGTCTACTCTATGACACGTATCCAATAGATACTCGAGCGTCGTACTATACTAACAATGACTAAGATATATCGTGCTAACCCAAACAAGGGGTCTACTCTAGAGCCGGCATTGAGAACGGCCAGTCCTTTGGTATCGTCGGCTTGTCCTTCGGGGTTCGATGTTGATCCATTAACGAGGAGAACGAGGGAACCTCCTTCGCCAATTTCTGCATCACCACCTTCACCGCCGCATCCAGTGTCGTATCCCTGTATAGATTGGGAACAGCTCAGCTTTAATCTTACATAAACTTCAAATGTGTGTAGACAGACTCTATGGATTGGGGACAGCTCAGCTTTAATTTAACATGAACTTCAAATGTGTGTAGACAGACTATGCATTGGGAGTAGCTGAGCTCTAATTATACATGAACTTAAGTGTGTGTAGACAGACTCTATGGATTGGGAATAGCCCAGCTTTAATTTAACATCATCAAATGAGTGCAGGCAGAAACCTCGACTATATGTGGTCGAAGTGGGATTGTATTGCGTAAATATCGGTCTTGCAATACTACTGATGACAAACTGAAGTTGAGTCTGTATGAATGACCACCGATAGCGAATGAAGTCAACAAAGGAGTATGTGACAAATGCATGCTGAAGTGATACTATGACCGTATTCCACCCAATGTTTCAGTACATCTCAAATTATAAATAGAACTTCGTATCAGCCCCACAAACCCGAACTCAACCGAGATAGGGATCACAATTACACTCCCAGAGCCCCAGACTAGACTACCACGACATCCCAGAGAAGGACACTCATCGAACACAGTAGGTCCATAGACACTTTTGTGTGATACTGGGGTGGTGGCGGTAGGTAAGCTGGCCAATGCTCTCAGCCACCATGCCTTCGCATATAGATTTGTTTAAGCTAGTCATTACTACTGACATCATGTCTTCGCGTTGGTATTCGTAATAAGGTAATTAATACTACGGACACCATGTCTTCACATAATGATTTATATAAGCTAGTCAATACAACAGACACCATGTCATCGCATATAGTCTCCCTCACACAGCTGCGGGATGGAGGTTCAGGATACACTAACAGTCTAATTTGGACATGCCACATATCAGACTAAAATAGACCATTCAGCCTAAAATAGACCATGCAGCCATCCCCTTTAGTAGCAGCGTAACAAAGACATGTAATACATGTGCATCAGGCAGGCAAAGAGTCAACACACACAGTTCTACTTCAGCTGGGTACATTTTCAAGATGATTCAATAAAAAAGTAGTAAGGTCACGTTATCAAGATAATTTCAGGTTGACGGATACTTATATGGTCAAAGGCGTTTGCACACAGCCCTTACTTTCCCTTTCGATGCTCCTGCGGAGTTTGTATCACATGTACATCAGGCTCTACGCCTCTGTTCTCGATTGGTGCTGCTTCTTTGTGGAGGAATAGGATCAAGATTTCCGGCTGAAGGGTGTAGGATGTGTGTAGTCGGTAAGCAATATATATATATATATATATATATACATATACATACACAAACACACACACACACACACACACACACACACA